TTAATAATAATATTCATCGTTAGTTAGCACCTGTTAGTTTGAGTTCATGTCATGCTGTATCAGTTAATCATCAGTTATAATAGGGGACTGCCAACCAGGGCCTTGGGTAAGGATTTCCCATGCCTATTTTGTTATCATTCACTTGACAATTGAGCTTTTTCCAATTTTCATTGATTGTATTGATAAAGAAAGTATAAATTTGCTTGACATTGCAAATTACCAGTAAGCAATAATGTTCTAAGAGAACACTTGCAAAAAACCATATAGGTTCTGTTTCTTGCTATCTGCCTTGAACAAATAAATCTAAAATTTGACGTTCCTTTCTGCAGTGACATTATCTTACAAAAGACAGCATTGAAAATCAGAAGACATCAGTTATAAAATTCTAATGCTTTTTTTGTGCCTAGGTCTCTGAAGGATGAAATGTTATTTGGCACCATTATTAAGCTCCAATTTAAGCCTATCCCATAGTATTAAATCAAGCCAGAATATTAGAAAAAAAACACCCTACAAAGATTAATATATAGAAACACATCTACAGTTTGAAAACTTAAATAATAGCAAGTCAAACCAACTGATTGAGATAATTAATTTGACACAAATTTTCATTTAAATGCCGATTTTATTTTCAAAATCAGTTGACTCTTAATTTCAATGCTGGAAGTGGCTCCATGGCCATCATATGACAATTTTTTGGGATAACATTTCTAAATTGAGAGATTTTCAATGATCTTTATTGTGCTTTTTTATATCCAATGACATCTTCACCATGTCAAGCCATTACAAACTGCATCTGATACTTTGACTGCAGTAACCACCTTTCTTGTATCATGGATGTTTGTAAATGAAGATTTTGATTGGATTATACGCTAGCCTCGCCATAAAATCTGTGAACATAAAGCCATAATGCTTAGTCTTACTGTCAGGGGCTTTGATTGGCTGTATTCAAATCAAATCGCTACATTCCATTATACGAGAATAGTTGCTATTGCAGTCAAGGTATTAGGACAAAGATCGTAATAGCTTGACATTGTAAAGAAAATCCAATGATAGCCTATGAGTAAAAATTTTGTCATTGTATTGATAGCTTCCAAGACACTTCCAGCATTGTAGTGTTATAGTAATATAGAGTTACATGGCTATATATGGAATTAGAAAGTAGTAATATATAGAAGCACTCCACAAAATACAAATTTTGAAAAAATTAAAAACGTAAATACAAAATTTGAAAAAAAAAAACTTGTCTAAAATGATTCCTACCGGACATGTAAGGGTCATGAAAACCCATCGATGAATCTTGATAAGATGGAGGATAGTGACCCATCGCTGAACGGTCGTTGTACATATTTTGATTGTATACTGTGCAAAAAATCAATAAGCCAAAATTTCAAAATATTTCCAAAAACATAACATAGTGACAAAACATTGTGCTGTAATAATTGGGATGTAAAATGGCCATGAAAAATGTTTCTGTATCAAATATTTAATATATTTTCAGCTTTCCAAAATCAAGGAATTAACTTTTGGCCTTCAGGTTATTGAATGCAAGATCACATGATAAAGTCGAAATTCATTGTGCCAACAAAATATTTTTTTCTCGTTTTTTGGAAGCTGGAAACATTGAATTGGCCTTAGAATCCATTTCCAAGATTTTTCTATTAAACCTTATTTTCTGGACACAGATTGGTGAATATATATTTTTAGAACATTATGTCATTACAGAGAGGTTTAAAGACATTATCTTCAATTTGACTGATTGACCTAGTTTTTAAGCACATGCATTCCATGTCAAAAGCACAAAGCAAATAAAGGAGAAGACAATCATAAATAGATAAGGGAAGTAACTCACTTGACATATCAGGATATCGTTTGTTGGGAGTACCAAATGGTGGGCGTGGTCCTGCATAAGATCCTTGGTAACCTTGATACTGATCTTGATTTCCCATTGGTCGAGGACCATAGCTGTTGCCATGGTAACCAGGTGTTCCACTGTATTGATCTTGTGGTCCATTTGGTCTCATCGGCATACCTTGGTTACCATATCTTCCACCATAAGGGGTGTTGGGCGTGTTCATTGGTCCACCCATTCTCATATTCTGACTAGGGGTGCCAGGAGCATTGCTGAAATGAAAATTAGCCAATATTATCATACATTTCCATGACAGAAGTATACTATTGCATTGTAAAACACCCCTTGACCTCCAATTGAACTCTTCAACACCTACATTTTAAATCAATGTAGGTTTAGATCATTACATTTGTAAAGCTAGATTTGTTTTTCCAATCTTCCAAAGGCTGCATGAATGAATGAGTCATTGTGCCTTTGACATAAAATGAATCCAACATGAACAAGCGATGACACCAGACAAAAGGGTGTCATGAACATCATTTTTGGACAACTCAACTCCATCTGTACGATCTTTCAAAAGAACAACTAAGCACATTTAGAATTCATATACATACCTGTCTGGTCTATCAAACTGGTTTCCAAATGGAAACTGTCCACCTGGTCTACCGGGATACTGGTTTGGTCCGTTAAAGTCGGGACGACTGGGAAATTCAGCACTACCTCCACGTCGATATGGGTCTGGCATATTAGGAGTAGATGTACTGGCAGAGAAAGGAGGCATGTTGGGGCCACTGGTCTGTGGGAAGTTAGGGTTTCCAGGAGGCATCTTGTTGAATTGTGGCATGTTGGTTCTGTTCCCAGATGACATATCATCAGCAAAAGGGTCTTGGACGCTGACGCTTTCAGAGTTTCCTGGAGTTTGAGTTGTAGGTGCTGGTTGGCCAGTAGATGGCGTGGGGGTCGGGACCTGGTTTGGTTTGTTGGGTTCAGTAATTGGAGCTGCTGTGTTAGGCGTTGAAGAACTGCTAACACTCATGGGAGAGCTTAGTCTGGTAGCATCATTCGTGTTGCTGCTTGTGGAATTGGGAGAGGCTTCACTTGGTGCTGGTCCCGAACTACTGCTTAGCATGGTATTCGGCATATTCCCTGTGTTTATTGGACCAGAATTTCGCTGCATCGAGCTAGAATTGATGGTAGCTGTTGAGTCAATAGTAGTAGCTGTAGATGTTGTGGGAACATTGCTAGACATTGAAGAGTTCGGATGAGGTCCTCCCATTTGATAAGGCATGCCACTGTTCATCATTGGATTATGCATCGAGTTAGGTCCATTTCCAGTCACAGCATTGGGATTTCCACTAGGCATAGCATTGGGCATTCCACCAGGCATAGCATTTGGCATACCAGTTGACATCAAAGAGTTGCCTCCCATATTTGACATCATGCCACCCATGTGATTTCCCATGTTCCCGTGCATGTTGTTTCCCATTTGTTGATGCATCATGTTGCCAGGCATTGATGAATTAGGCATGTTGCTGGGCATTGAGGAATTAGGCATGTTTCCATACATATGAGGCATATTTCCTGACATGGCACCAGGACCACCCATGGAGTTCATATTTCCATGCATTGGCATGTGTGGCATATTTCCTCCCATTGAAGAATTGGGCACGTTACCATGCATCATATTTGATGGCATATTTCCACCCATTGAAGTGTTCGGCATATTTCCAGGCATGCCAGAATTTGGCATATTTCCAGGCATTGAACTTGGCATTCCACCAGAATTAGATGTATTTGGCATGCTGTTAGGCATTCCGCTGTTGTTTCCCATACCAGTAGGCATCGGAGAATTAGATGTTGTGGTCATAGATGAATTCGGCATACTTCCAGCTGAAGTTGTCGGCATATTTCCAGCATTTGAGGTTGGTGGCATATTTCCAGAGGTGGATGTATTTGGCATTCCACCTGCTCCAGAAGAATTCGGCACACTTCCCGGCATCATTGAATTTCCCATCTGTGATGATTTAGGCATATTCATGGGCATTGGTGAGCTCGACAAGTTGCCTGCCATTGCTGGATTGGGCATGTTACTTCCCATGGATGAATTAGGCATGTTACTGGCCATTGTGGTATTAGGCATGCTTCCAGAATTCGGCATATTCGGGGTGGAGGTGTTGTGTCCTGGCATCGAACTCGACATCGACGAGTGTGGCATATTTCCCATCTGTCCTGGACCATTGGCATTCTGATTGGAAAATGGTAAATGATTTCCCATCTGGTTTGGCATGTTGCCACTCATCATGTTACCACCCATGGCATTCGGCATGTTTGCACTCATAGAGTTGGGCATATTTCCCATACTGTTAGGCATATTTCCCATATTGTTGGGCATGTTTCCACTCATAGAATTTGGCATGTTTCCCATCGAATTCGGCATATTTCCGCTCATAGAGTTAGGCATGTTTCCCATATTATTGGGCATATTTCCCATATTATTAGGCATATTTCCCATGCTGTTGGGCATGTTACCTCCCATGGAGTTGGGCATATTTCCACCCATCATATTATTCTGTCTCATCATATTTCCAGGGCCCATCATGTTGGGACCCATATTTCCACCATGACCCATCATTGAATTAGGGCCCATTCCGCCCATCATGTTGTTGCCAGACATCATTCCAGGGTGGGGCATGCCACCCATGTGTCCTGGACCCATCATCGAGTTGTGGGGGTTCATCGGATTCATCATTCCTCCATGGGACATCATGCCACCCATACCACCCATGCCCTGATCATTCATGTAGTGTGGGTTCATCCCTGGGCCGGGTGAGAATGGGTCTAATCCTTGACTGTTGGGTGTGCTGGGTGGTCGGAAAGCATCCTGAGAGGAGCCTTGGGAACCAGCTGAAAAAAAGAGAAAGGAAAATTTAAGTCAAATGACAAGTTGATATCAAGAAAGGGTGAAACTGACTATGGTCAAGCAAAAGATAATTGCGGACATCTATGCATATATTTTAAATCATTAATACGATCATACAGGTCGTCTTTTGGTCAATCATGCACTGTAGTTTCAATACTTCTGCAGGTTGCCGTGTGGAATGGTGGAACGTAACAATTCCTTCACAATTTCTTATAAAAAATAATTTCAATATTACATACCTGGTGAAGGTGCTCGTTTATTTTTCTGTTCTCGTTTCTGTGCTAGAGCTGCCTCCATTTGAGCTAAGATAGGCTGAGGATCCATTCCACCTCTATCATAATGACATTCAAAATGAAATAAATATTTGATATAATTCTTTTTCAAGGTGAAAGCGGCACTAGCAGATGATCCGATATTTACAATGGTACAGATTTCTTTCCACTTCTTCACTTTATTCACCTGAAAAATAATTCATTGACAGTTTTTTTTAACTAACTCACTATTTTGATTGTGAACTTGACTAAATCTCTTTAAATGGCATTTAGCAATTATTGTGAGAACGATATATAGACACAGCTTTAAGGAAACATCAAAATGATGAGTAAAACTTTAACCAGTGATTGTTGTTCCATAAAGCTGTGTCTAAATCAGTTTCAAAATTTCTCAAATAGTTTACTTCTTAAATGGTTTGTAATTTTAGCATCATTTTCTGTGAGAAACATTTTAAAATTGTACCCTTTAAAAAGAGTTAACTTAGGTCAGATCTTATTTGTCAACTGTCAATTTACGTGCGCCACATGGCAAAAGTTTCTTGTACAATTTTTTTTCAATCATCTAGGATTATACCACTTTGCAGACTTCTGACAGGTCACAACATGCATTAGTGCCAGCATGATATATCTGTGAATCAACCAGTGTTAGTTTTTATCCAATTACCCCATATTGCTATATATATTGTATCATGGCAATACCCAGCACTACCAGGTAATGATTGAATGTATCTATGTGTATTTATGAGCGCCATAAAGCTAAAGTTTCTTGTGGAAGTTTTTTACAGAAATTTTTTCTCTTACCTCAATCATTCCCCCTCGTTCCTTGACACAATGATACAATTTGTACAAATCTAATGGTTGTTTACTGATAGCAGGCATGCCAGTTATTGGGGCACCTTTATCTTCATTAAAGGATAATAATTTATCAATAAATAACTTTCTGTCAGACTCGTTGCCCATCTCATACAATTTACTTAAATCCACCGACCCAGATTTCTGAAAAAATATCAAAATTATTTCAAAATTTGACAAAAATTTATTTTACTTATACCTAAAATTAAAAAATTCTATCAAAATTGTTTCTAAGACTACATAATTGTAAAATTAATATTTGTTGAAATATTTAATCATTTTGATTTAACTAAGAAATCAAGAATTTCAAAATATTGAAAATCAATATGCGCATAAATTAATTTGTTAGATGATGATATTTATGAATATTAATGCAGTTAATTTCTAATTTTCTTATTACACATTTATATACAACTTTATCCAGGTTACCACAAAAACCATTTTAAAATAAAAATTAAAATAATACATGTAAATACTATCAAAAAACGTTTCCATGCCAATGAAAAAATGAAATGAAGACACAAAAATAGAAAATAAATACAATTTTAAAGACAAAAGCAATAAATATTTAAAATGGACATAAAAACGAAAACAAAAATTCACAGAAATTCTGTTTACAATAAACAAAGGGTATATATACTAAGTTTAATAAAAAATTATTGTGCATATACGACGCAAAATTAAAATATGATATCGTCAGTGCAAATACAGACGACATGCGAGGAATCCCACCAAGTAAAATGAAGGTTAAATTAGGTAGTAGTAAATATGTTTCCCACGTTTTGATTGGATCCATTATATTTGAATTAGTGAAATTAGCCAATGAGATGTAACAAAATACCAGGATTAGGCTAGGTCAAGGGAGGCAATTAGGCAATGATTTATCTCTGTATTTGATTTTAAAATTAAACTGGCTACCAGGAGTAAAGGGGAGAATTGATCAGGTCATAGGTCAGAGGTTGAGGTCAAGTGAAAAGAAGCAAAATATTAAAAATAGCTGTGTAACAACCATCTGAAATTTTGGTTACTAACCGATCTATCAAGAATAGAATTATGAAAGTGACTAAGCTAATTCAAGGCATTGGCCAAGACATCAGAAGCCCCAGGAATTCAAAAACGATTGTTCAACCAAGAAACATTTTGAATTTAAAGATGTGACATCCCTATTCTAGTGTGCTGAAGAAATTTGAAAAGACGAAAAAAGGAAGAGAGTTTGAAGAAGCGGATTTGAGACCACAACCTCTGCCAAAAATAAGACCTCAGGAAAAAAATTCCAAAAAATAAGGAAAATTTGCCAAGTAAAAATTTGGAAAATAAAAAAATGAACAATGAGGGCGTTGTCTGACTTACTTGGCCCGTTACTCCCGGGCTTGTCACGTCATATTCATCATATGACGAAATACTCACACCACCAGGTGAATGGGCCATCGAACCCGCGGGCGACAAATACCCATAATCCTTAAAAACAAATAGCGCTTAGTGTCAAAACGCATAAATATACCCTTAGAGTGATTCAAACCTTAAAACTGGATTGATTAAACTAAACGATCTAGACCTATTATATGAGTTGCAAAATGGAGTTATGTCCTATATAGACCCAAAGGTGGCGCTCGATTGGAGAGTTCTGAACAGGTTCCGTCTGTTCCAATTCTAGCCTCAATCAAACGGAAAGGAAGTGGACACTTCACATTCAAAATGTCTATTTCTTTCTTTTTCCGACATTTTGAATTCTGTCTACATCACTACTCTTTTTTTCTACGTACATGGAACATGTTTTGAACTCTGTTTCAACTTGTTTTATTGATTCCAGAACTCAGCAATCGAGCAACCCCTAAGAGTTGACTCCATTTCTTCAAGATTTCAGCCAACATTGTAAGCTTTAAACAGAGTTATCTCCCACTACTTATTAACTGTATGCAAGGCGGGCAATCAAATTAAAAGTAGCTAAAAATAATTCATTTGGGAGAAGAGGTAAAATTAGGCTTTCTAAAGTCACAAAATTCAATCCAAAAACAGAATGTTCATCCTGAAAAACTAGACATCGACTAAGTTTGAAAAATAAACGGAAAAAATAAATGAATGGTATCATTCCAATATAAATATTCTAATCAGATCATTCCATGGCTTGTGGCTTGGTTTATCTTATAATCTACGGTAAAAACGACTTTAAATCAACTGCTGGAGATCCACTTGCAAAAATTACTTAAAAAATCTAATCAGTGACGATTTATTTGAGTATCATACTGTCTTTCAAAATGAAATAAAGTGTAACTTAATATTTCAAGATTCATAAGTGTATCATTTCCTTTCGAAACCATATGAAGCGCTATTTTTTTTTTTTGCCAGTTGGTTTTTGTTTATATTGTTTAGTCAATTTGTTTGATTTTTTAAGGAAATTTTGAATTTCTTTCACTATTTACTATTAGCTTCATTTCAAACTCTTTCTTACTACTATGATAAAAACATTAATTGACAAATATTGCCCCTTTAATTGATGTAACACGTATTAGCTCAACTTTATAGTTATTGAGACTGTTCAACACCTGAAGGTATTTATACTGATTTCTAATCAGCCATTTTATAAAGATTAGCCTCAAATTTGTCAGTAATTCTAAGTAATATTTGCAAGTGGATTTAAATAAAATCTAATAATTTCTAAACATCAAAAGCAAGATATCAAACCTTTTTCTTTTTCTCTGGAGGTTCATCTGGGTATGACGGCATGTTGTTACCGGGGACACCAGCAGAATCTGGGGCATTCTGGGACATATTTGATTGATTTGTAATTTGTGTTGGGGGTGTGATTATGGTTTGAGTTCCAATAGCATCTGAAAAAAAAAAAGAGTCATATTGTAAAGAAATAGACATTAATTTTCCGTGTGAACCATCTAGTAATTCTCATCTAATATATATGCAATGGACTTCAATACCCAATGTGCCCTCATATCAAGTTGGATTATGGAAAGCGTCATAGTATTCATGGTTATTTCATTTTTTATTTGTCTTCATCGTAACCATTTCCTTTTTAAAATCATCCATGGATGTACATAAGAATCATAGGACAGGCATGTATTTTGGAAATGTTACAAATCTTTTATCTACTTACTTGGATTTGACGACATAGAATCAGAAGAATTTGACATTTGATCTTCTCCTCCAGGGGGCACTGTTTGACTAGCTTCATTCGGTGTCGACATTTTCGCCGGCATATCACCTTGACCTTGGCCACTGGAATCGTTACTAGGCACATTATTCACATTTTTATCCGATTCCGTACTATTTATAGGTTTTTTATTTGATTGATCAGAACTAGCGTCTGATTGGCTAACACAGTTCACATTTGTATTATTTTCAGTGTTCTGATTGGTTGATGAAGAGTCATGTAAGTTTGAGCTATTATTAGCACCTGGACTTACTGAAGCACTGGTATTCGCTTGCGTGTTCGATTTAGCTGGATTGTCTTTGGGTGAAACAGAGGCATTAGTGGCACTATTTTGTGAGGCGGAATTAGACACTATATTTGAATTATTCGGTTGATTCATATTGTTCGGTGCATTGTTCATAGGGGGTGCACCAAGTCCAACTGTCATGTGATTTAACTGACCAATGGGGCCAGAATGATTCATAGAAGGATAATTATTCATACGCGACTGGTTTATAGGAGGGCGTATATTTCCAGCACTATTCGCGGCAGCAATCATGGCTGCTTGAGCAGCTGCAGCAGCAGCGTTCGCACCTTTCGGAGGATTCTGGGAATCAGATGACGGCATGTTGTTAAATCCAGGTCGGACAGAGTTCATCGGTTGGGGGCCGTTTGGTCCCATATTGTTATAGCCGCCATATTGATTTGGCATGTTCATCCCCATATTGCCTTGTCCATATGCGTTACTATAATTAGAATTGGGCATGTTATGACGGGGCATGTTGTTGTACACAGGGTTGTTACCTCCCATAGGGTTCGGCCCATTGTACATATTCTGTGGGGGATAATTCGACATTCCACCAGGGTTAGGCATTCTTCCATAGCTTCCTGTAAGAACAATATAATACATATACTTGTAAATTTTATATGTCCTAATAACATCTTACTAAGTACATTGCTACGACAGCTGAACATATCTATCATTCAAGATAGGAATCAATGGAAAAGTTATATTTGTGCAATCTGATTAGAATGCAAATTATGATGTTTTGTTTTGTTCATGAGGACATGCTGATTGTGATTTAGTTAGTCACAAATTTAAAAACAAATTTTGTAATTGCACTGGAACAAAGAGTTGAAACATCATAAACCTTGTTAAGCACAAGTCTATGATACTGATGAGTTGGATTTGGTTAGCATCTCAAATTAATTCTACAAATTTTAGAGTTGCAAAGGATAAAAATGAAGCAGTAAAAACATCTGTTTTCCAAGGTTCCACTTGTGAAAAGAAAATCCCGCTCAGAAATTTGGAACGTGTGATGAGTGCATTAAAAAGGCTTTTTAAGGTAATTGTTCCACCAAAAGTCTGACTCCTGTAAATCCATGAAGTGGAATCGAACAGGGATATTCATGATACGAATAGAAACTTTTCTTCATTTGAAATAAACATGCCAAAAGACCTTTTTCTTTTTTTTAATCATTTTAGAGTGCAGGGCAAGTTCTTGCCAAGAGTGTGGCAGAAATACACTATGCAATTGAATTATAAAGGTGCAATAAGCTTTCAATAAAACCATTATTGAATTCGTCTATTTAACCAACTCAAATAATTCAAAAGGCGGGACATTAAATAAATAAAATTCGTTAAAAATTTTCACAGAGATAAAAAAATACAATTTTTTTTGTTTAAAGACGTATAAAAACGTGACCTAGATCAGAGCCAGAAATTAGGTCGAGGAATTGTTGACATGGCGTAACTTAGTAAATATTGACATTAAGAGGAACTCTGTCGCAGTAATGTTTAAAAATACGTTCATTTCAACAAGAGGATTGATCAATCTTCAAACAACATGGCTCCTTTATTATATTTAGTTTCTTTGTTTTTAAAATTTCCATATCAAACCACAAACAATCACTAATAATCTAAACCTTTCATAGAAATTTGATATAAATTTAGACATATTTTCCTGTCTTTTCATTTTGATTT